TGAAATGCTACTTGTGATTGTATTTGTTTAATGTATTGAATTTGATTTGGAGGTGAGACTCTATGCCCAGTTGTGTGTTTTGGTAGTATAGAGTACTCACCCTTACATTTATTTTTTAAGTAATCAAGACGATCAGCACTGGACTCAGTGAAGGGACGGATGAATTACTATAAGACTTAGATTTTTATTCTGAAAATGTTATAATTAAACTAGTTTAGATTTTTATTCTGAAAATGTTATAATTAAACTAGTTCTGTAGCAGTTATTTGATATTAATTTGTAACCCTTTACTTATTTCAAAATCTTTTATGAAAGTTTGATTATCCGATTTGTGAAATTATTATTTAATCGAAATTAAAAATAAGGTGTTACACTAGAGGCAAATAATACATGATCTATAGTTTCTCTTCCTCAAGAAAAATGAAGTAATAAATCATTGGTTGTAGATGGTTATACAAGGTTAAGTATTATCCTGATGGTAGTGTGGATTGCTATAAAACTTGGCTGGTAGCCAAAGGCTACACTAAACAAGCGGGGATTGACTTTATATACACTTTCTCACTTTTGGCAAAATTAACCACTGTGAGAATCTTTTTGACAATTGCAGCATAGAAGAATTTTATCATTTAACTTGATATAAATAACGCCTTCTTAAATGGCAATTTATTCTGAAGAAGTTTATATGCAATTATCATTAGGATATCACATTTAGGGGGAGAATATAGTTTGTAAACTCAATAAGTAACTTTATGGGCTTAAACCAGTGTCTTGTCAATGGTTTTAAAAATAATCATCAACACTTCTCTCGCATGGTTTTAAACAGGTTACAAGTGATTACTCATTGTTCACCCTTAGTTATGGTTCCTTTTTAGTAATTCTCCTAGTATATGTCAATGATATTCTCTTGGCAGGCTTGAATCTTACGATGCTAAAAGATACTCAATTATTGTTGCAGTCTTTATTCAAGTTAAAGGTCATAGGAGACTTGAAATATATTATGGGGCTTGAAATAGCAAAATCCTCCAAAGGGATTCAATTAACTCAACAAAAATACACATTACAGAATTTGACACTTAATGACAAAGATGATGATCCTCTAAATGATGCTTCTATTTATAGGAGACTTATTGAGAGGTTGATGTACCTCACCATTTCAAGACCAGACATAACCTTTGCGGTTAACAAATTAAGTCAATTTATGTCTAAGCTGCACACTTCTCATCTCAATGTTGTACATCATGTCCTTCAATACTTAGAAACTTCGTCAGGACAAGGCTTATTTTTCCATCTTCTTTAAATATAAACCTTTCTACCTTTGCTGATGCAGACTAGGGCAATTGTGCAATCACCAGAAGATCAACCAATGAATTTTGCGTCTTTCTAGGACACTCATTAATTGCTAAAAAAAGAAAAGGCTACTGTATCTCGATCTTTTGCTAAAGCAAAATATCAGGCTCTAGCATCATTAACAAGTGAGGTCCTATGAATAACATAAATACTTTAATCGTTTGAAGTTACAACTCCAGTAATAGTGTTTTGTGACAATAAGTCTGCTATACAGCTTACTAGCAATCCTACCTTACATGAAAGATTTAAGCATGTGGATATCGATGTTCAATTTAGGTTCCTCAAATTAATTCACGTACCATCTTAACACCAACTAGATGATGTTCTAACAAAACTTCTTCCACAATCTATATTTTATTTGTTAATATATAAGTTGGGTATACTTTACATCTATCTTCCAACTTGAGGGAGGGTATTAGAAATTAGTATACGTGACAATTAGTTAGTTATAATACCATTATTAATTTGTTAGCTTTGTAATTCTATTACAATGTATGTATAAATATTGCATTGCCTTGTATAAATAGAGGTGGATTTTATCCTCCTTCTTTTTCAGATGAATAAAATCATATCAAATCTCATTTTAGAGAGAGCTTATGTGTTAATACGAAGGAGATCTACATATAATTTAACCACTAAACGTAATAAATCACAAAATAGGAAAACCGCGATCTGAGCAAATTCAATGGCATTTGAATTAGGATTTATTCTTTTCCAAATCAAGATAAAAGAAAAGCTAAATGAAAGAATAGGATAAATCTATATGAAACCAAATTTAGGAAATTAATGTGGCCATATGAGGTTTCTGTTGGTGTATGGACAGAACATTAACAAGAGGTGACTTGTGCACATTTAGGTACATGCAACACGTGTGTAGATAAATTTACAAGCACATCAAAAGTTTTTGTACAAGGCTTACATACAACGTGGGAGGTATATCCGTTTAGTCCTTTTGCTTTTTGCATAATCTTGTAAATTTATACAACAAATTATTTATAATTTTGAATTTGATTATTTGAATATCAACTGATTGAAATTATATTTAATATAGCATATAATTATTTATATTTCTTATTATTTACTCGTTTTGTATTTAATTATATCTATACAAAAAATTATCCTAAAATTTTAAAAAATAACAAAAGTTAACCCACTTTAACATGGTATATAAAGTGGTAAAGCTAAATTTATTATCCTAAATTAAAATTAAAAAAGAAATGCTATAATTTTTCCTTTTGTTTCTTTGCATGGTAAAGCTAAAAAAAAAAAAGAAATGTCAGCTGCATTGTGAAATTTTGTCCTTTTTATTGTTTTTGTATTTTTTAGGTAGACCAATCGTGGTATGGTGGTTAATTTGAATGTGCTTATTTATTGACTAAATATAGTTTCACACGTTGAATCCATTCTTTTATATTTGATTCTAACGTATCAATTTAAAGTTTATGAAGTTTTTAACTTTTTTTTAAATTTATTATATTTATAGTTTAGTCTTTTAAATTTTATTTAAATAATTATATATTATAGTAATTTTCCATTTTTTATTGAATATTTTAAAATTTATATATTTTAGTGCTATTTAAATTTAAAATACAGATACATGATGCGGAATAATATTTTTAATATGTAAATTCTTAAAAGAGGATGATAGCTGTCAATTTAATTAAAGCCGCAAGTCTTAATAGGCTATTTCTTTTCAACAAAAGATGTGCAAGGATATCTACAGAAAAAATAAAATAAAATACAAATCGGTGGAAAATGATAGAAATTTAAAATATTATCTAACTTACAAAATTTTACTTGTGAATATTACTTTTGAATACTACTATGATAAAGGTAAATTTAATTATGAAAAAGTAGTGAATATTATTTTGCAGGAAATCATAACATAAATTTATAGAAATCTCACCTATAAAATTTTACTCTTAATTATAAGATGTATAAAATTGTGATAATGATAGCTTATTAAATATTCAGCAAACAAAAATATCTACTTACCTCATTGTACTAGTATTCGTAAGACTTTTTTTTTATTAATTATTATTAAGTGTCAAATCAAAGAACTGAACCATCATGATTACTTTGATGTTTATTACTTTACTTTGTTTCTTTATTTTCTTAAAGAAATAAGTATTCTAAGAATCAATTATTTTAAAAGAAAAAAAATGCAATTCTGTTGTTGACTAGAAATGCATGTAATTTTTAATATACAATACTTTAAGAAAAGTTACAACTATTTTAAATGAACTTTATTTTAAAATATTTAAATATTTTAAAGTTAAATTATTGCAATGTTAAATCACATTTACTTTTTGAACTTTCCACACAATTTATTTATTTTTATATAAAAGATAATGTTGAAAGTTATCATATTTACCGCATGTTAATACAAAATATATAACCTGTACTCATAAATTTCTTAACTAAAAAAATTAAATATTTGTTATATTAAAAATATGGCTTTTATTTTAATTATCATTTAAAATTTTCTTTTAATTTATATATTTATAAATCATATATTTTTTAGTAGATTTTAAAATACACGATTTTTAATTATCTAACCTATTTACATGCGTTAGAAATAATTACAAAATATTTAAAAGATAACTTTAGAAGAATATTTAACTTATTAACGCTTAATTAAATAACCTTCAATAACAAAATGATTATTTTATTATAAAATAAAATTATATATATATATATATATATATATATATATAATGAAGGACGTTCACCATCTTTTAAATTTTAAAATTTCTGTCACATCACAATTATGTAAAAGCAACATATTTCAAAGCATAAGAAGAATAAAAAAGTTAAGCTTCATGCACTTGTAAATTTTATTTTTCAAATCTAGACTGTCAAACTTTGCATGCATTTGCAGAAATAAACACTTGCATAATAACTCCTCCTAAATCTCATTCTAATAACTTAAAAAGTAATGGTTAATTTTCGTATACAATTGTGAACTAAATTCATATAAACATGATTAATTAATTGTATATAATAATTTATATTTCTTCTATATTATATTAATAATAATTACTAAAATCAATTTTATATACTATTAATATATTATTTCCGAGCCTATTGGTCTTTCGTCCATAATTAAAAGATAAATAATTTCCTATCATCAAACGTGCATGGAAAAGTGTGCCTAATCCAATTTCAGTCCTTAATTTAGTTATCTCTGTTCTCTAAACGAAAAAACAACAAACTCTACATTAGTTAAAATATTTTTTTATGATCAGTTAAAATAAGTCTAGTGATATATTAACATATAAGATGGTAATATAGGTAAAATATTGGCTTAAATATATATTGTATTCTAAAATTATTTAATTTTAGTTTTTAAAATTTTAGTCTTAAATAAAAAATTTAAAAATTAATACAAACAAATTCCCAAAAATAAAAAATTAATAATATAATTTAACTTAAAATATCTTACATTACCAAATTAGAGGGTTATTACTTTCATAAGAATCAAAGGAGAAGAAAGTCAAAAAGACTAATATTAATTTTGCCTAAATATCCGGCAGCTGCCCGATATACAGAAGTAAGGTAGGTCAAGCTGCCCGAAATCTGAACGGGCAGGTCCAAACTCCGAGATGAGTCCAATACTTAGATTATCTATCACCTTCAAAGTTGAACCAAACACATTTCCACGTCACCACCACCACCACCACCACCATGGAAGGTGGCCCGTGAGGCTGTTTCCGGCCACCTCTCTCAGTGCTAAGTGTTGATCAAGGTGGGAGAGGAAATGGGTCAGAGGCTAAGTTGCAGGCAACAGCATGATGACAGTGCTTTGTTCCCTGCAATTGCAAGTGGAGAATTGGAGGTTGTTGAGGCCATGGTCGAGGAAGACCACACTGTTTTGGAACACACCACTGGTCATGACAGGCTCTCAACACTTCATGTAGCTGCTGCGAATGGTCGGATCCAGGTTGTTGTCTTGTCTCTCTTGGACTTTAATGGTGTTTTTGTTGTTGTGTCTTTTTTTGTGTTTTGATCGTGCTGTTTTTCTTTTTCTTAATCTTGGGCAGGTTCTTTCCATGTTATTGGATAGGTCTTTCAATGTTGACATATTGAATCGCCATAAACAGGTGCCTCTCTTGTCTCTGTTTTTCTGTAACTCAAATGTTTTGTTATGTTTCTTATTTGTTTTATATTGATATCTTGTTGCTTTTTTGTTTTGGTGTAGACCCCGTTGATGTTGGCAGTGATGCATGGAAAGACTGGTTGTGTTGAAAATCTTATTAATGCTGGAGCAAATGTATGTTATGCTTTTTGTATTTGTATTATTGGTGGTAGTTTTGTCAAAGTTGATCATAGATTTTTCCTAGTTGAGGTGGTGATATTGGCATTTACTTTTGATGTTACAGATATTGATGTTTGATTCTATACGTAGAAGAACTTGTTTGCATTATGCTGCTTATTATGGCCACATAGATTGCCTTAAGGCCATTTTGTCTGCTGCACATTCCACACCTGTTGCAGATTCTTGGTTAGACTCTCCCTCTCTCGCCCACACGCACACACACACGCAAGCACGCATATGTGCACGAACACGCACCAATATGGGTCCAAGCACATCCAAGCATGAATAGTGATCCCTAATTAGTCATTTGAATTGTCAGGGGATTTGCAAGATTTGTCAACATAAGAGATGGAAATGGGGCCACCCCACTACATCTTGCAGCCCGACACAAACGGTCCGAATGCCTTCATGCCCTGTTAGACAATGGTGCTCTTGTTTGTGCTTCAACTGGTGGATATGGGTATTTGTTTTAGAAATTGTACAGTAGTTAGTCTTATATAAATTTTGGTGGTTTTTCATTCAGATTGATGAAACTTACATATGCAGTTACCCTGGAAGCACACCACTTCATATGGCTGCCCGTGGTGGTTCTTTGGACTGTGTCCGGATGTTGCTTGCTTGGGGAGCTGATAGGCTTCAATTAGATTCTTCTGGGTATGTAATTGTCAGTTACAGTTTCGAGATCCATTGCCTTTAGTGTAGAGTACCATTAAAAATAAGGAAAAGACTAAAAGTTTCAATCATCAATTGTCAGTATAGAGATGCCAAATTAAGCATATCTAGTTTTTAAATTTTTAATTAATTTCTCTATATGCATGAAAAGATTAAAGAAGGAATGGAGTAATTGATTAGCTTCATTTATTTTTTCCCCTCAAATGAATTTGCTAATTGTTTGGCACTCTTTGAAATTTTCTTATTTATCAAGAAACTGTTTTTATTGCCTCAATACAAGCAAGTTAACTTAATTAGATGAAGAAACGAACACATCGATGAAAAACTTGAGTTTACACTTAAAAGACTGCTTTTACTATAAATGTGGTTGATATCTATATTGTGCTCCAAAATATCTTAAACTAATACTTAGGAAAATAACATTTTAGTGATCAGTTAAGTCCAGTATTTTACTTGGTTATAGTTATAATATCCCTTATATCAGAAGCATTTGAGAGTCAGTGTTCCCTTAATCGTGTGCGTTTTACATCTTGTAATGATAAATGTATCTGTTGTAATTTGGTTAATATACTGAAGAGAAAATGACTTTGTTCTTCAGCCCATTTCATGTCTTTTCCATAATTCTTAAAAAGTTCCTGGATTCCTTAGTCACCACAAGCAAATCTATTAAGATCTGGCTTGAATAATTCTATTCAGGAAAATACCATTCACCGTTGCCCTGAAGCACAAGCATAAGGGATGTGCTGCTCTGCTGGATCCTTCATCAGCAGCACCACTTGTTTGGCCATCCCCATTAAAGTTCATTAGTGAGCTCAATCAGGAAGCCAAAGCCTTACTAGAAAAGGCCTTGCTAGAAGCTAACAGGGAGAGGGAGAAGATTCTACTAAAGGAGGCTGACATGCCTCCATCCCCACTGCCTTCTGAGAGTGAAAATGATAATGTTGCCTCTGAGGTACATCTTCCTTTCTTGACTGCTTTCCAGTTTAGATTTGTTAGTTTTACTTTAATGCATTTAGTATAGCTAAAGATTATGCTTTGGTAGAAGTCCAAAGAATGTTCTTTGGGACACATGAAAATCACACAATTGCTTCTGCAATGTAGTCATTGGCAGGTCTGTCACTTGGTTGACTGGATTTTTATTTTTATTTTCTAGTTTCAGAAGCTCTCTCGACTTAGTATGCAATAGCCTCTTACTATAATATGTCATGTCAATGCATGAGTGTCGTTTGGAGTTTTCCCTGTATACAGGAAATGAAGTTTTGTCTAGAAAAGAGAGTAAATTATTTATTTTCTGGATATTTCTCCTTGTATAGGCCAGCAATATGGAGTTGTGTTCCATATGCTTTGACCAAGTGTGCACGATTGAGGTCAGACCCTGCAGCCATCAAATGTGTGCTCATTGCACCCTAGCTTTATGCTGTCACAAGAAACCTGATCCTGCAAGGGCTTGCCCTTCTGGACCAGTTTGTCCATTTTGCCGTGGTACCATTCTTCAATTACTTGTTGCTAAGAATACCCAGGGAAGTGATACAGAAGTGGAATCTAGCCCTATGAAGCCAAGGCGATCACGAAAATCAAATATCAGTGAAGGGAGCAGCAGTTTCAAGGGCTTGTCGGCCATGGGCTCGTTTGGAAGGATTGCTGGCCGCAATTCAGGGAAGATTACAGCTGAAAAGCAATGGGGGGTTTCTTGAAAATTGATAGTTGGTGGTTATTTTTCTTGCTAGCCAGCAGGAAACTGATATAAATAGTGGTTTTAGTTTCTGCAGAATAGCTGCCTATATTGGTATGTTGTTTGGATTCATTTTCTCACGATTGTCCAAAGATCACTAAGATCATGAGAGATAACCGTTTGTCATCGGTTTAAGTTTTCTACTTTTGTAATCTGATTCTGGACTTGGAGCATCAGAACAGTTGTGTTTTTTTTCCTCAAATATCAAGTATAATATGCATGAGTTAAAGGTAATTTCCTTGCTTCTTTAACTGTGGGAAATATAAATGGGTTCACACACATGTTTTCATTCATCACTATTGTGACAAGGTTTTACCTTGTTGGTGTTCAATTTCTTGAGCTGGACTTCTTGCTTTCACATCATTTGAGCAGTGAACATCTGATGGGAAAGTGTAAATTAGCTACTGTTGTTCTCAAACATATTCAATCTAAATGCTCAACCAAGGATGCTATCAATTTGTGCTAATAGAATCCTTGATGTTTCCAAGACAATGTTTCTGTATTTTTAATCTGGTTTCTTAGGTACTGCAGAAACCTCAATATGGTGGAAGCTTTTGCTGGCATCAGTCAAGCTCCGTCTGTAATACTACCGAATCACCATATATTACAATATTTTTTAATGAGATACATTCGCATGACCTGTGATGTGTTTGCCCCTTGAAACAGAAAGGAAACAAGATTTGACATACTTATCATCATTGTTGATCAGCACCTATATAGAAACAAGCAAACAGACCACTAGCATTGTATGTAATAACTCACACGAGAGTGGTATGCAACTGTAGCAAATTTTGTAAGATTTCCGTAGTTCAAATTTATCATCTGCGGATCTATTTATATATATTTTGTAAGGCTTTATTATTAATTTTCTTATTACTTTCATAAAGAACTGCAGAAAGGAGTATAAAATATAACATCCTAATGCCTTGAAATTTAATTATCAATCAGGAGAATCTCCTGAAACAGATAAAAAAAACACTCCATGACCTCTGAATGGAAGAAAAGTGAATAAACAAGTGATAATAACTTATTTAGTTATCCACTCAAACGAGGAAAAACTATTGGTGCTACATATCCATCACTCTGGTCCATTTGATGGCTCCCAACTAATAGTGAGTTTGAGTCTCGAATAGGGGAAAAACCATTAGATCCATAAGTGGTTGGACACTGATTCCTTCTGTATGTGCTTGCAATTCTTCTCTCAGCTTCAAGGTAGTGAGCAAGAGAGGGAGCATCATTCCCACTCACTGCATCAGTACTTAACCTTGAACAAAGTGAAAACAGCCAAGGCTTCAGCTTGTGAATCTTTTTGTTGTCCCTTGAGGATTCCACCATTCTTCCCCTGGTTGATCTCCTTGAGAGTTCTAGGAAGCTAGAAATACCAATGAGGTTGCCAAGTGTAATGTTTTTGTCATGGAAGAATGATCCAGTGGACTATAACAAGCCATATCAAGTGAGTTAGGTAAATGGCTCATGAATACTGACTTCTATACAATTAGTATATATGCCAAATTTCAATTGACATTCATTAACATGATTGCTTAAAAATATTTCACTAAATAATAGTTAGTATGAAAAGGGTGGCTCAGTGTATGAGACTCCCATTTAGTAGGGTCTGAGAGGGAAGATAGAAGTAGACAGTTATACGCCCTAAAGCAAAGAACTATTTCTAACATTTGAGGTCACAAGCCAATAACCTTATTGTTATGCTTATGCTCTTCCTTAATAATTAATAAAGAACCATTTATGAAAAATGTTAATTATTCTGTATTTTATCTGTTATACAATATGATTGCTCCTTTCTCTCACTGTTCAAAGGGTAGTTTAACAGAAGGCATAACTTTCAACAAAGCGTGATTTGAATTGATCCCAAAATGACAAACATTATATCAACAAGATGGAAAATAAAGTGAAATCAACGTCACATTCTGTCAAGTCATGATGTGGTAGGCCATGCTATGGACCCCATTGGAGCCAACCAATAAATTACACAAAAAAGAAGCGAAGGATCCAAAAGAGAGCGACAGGGGAAGAGATCGAAGCTTTATGGGCATGTTCATTACATGTAGCTTCCTTTTCCTTCCTATTCATTTTTGGTTTGGACTCATTCAAAATTTGAAAAAAGCTTCATCTTCGTCAGAGAAATGAACTCAAAGTACGGAGTCAAAACTCAAAAGCCATCGTTCTAACTTCTAACCAGTATGAAAGAGTAAATTATACCAAATTTAAGACAAGCTGAACACAAGACAAAAAAAAAAGAAAAAAAAAAGACAATCTGAACAGGAAAAGGGCACATCACTGTGTAGATCAGAAGTGCAAAATCAGTCACACTTAGTACCATTGCAGGTATGTGAAGCAGTCATGATTTTTGCACCAAAAAAGTTATAGTGCAAAAAAGTTATACCAAGATATACATACAAAATATACGAGAAGATGGTGACTACGATGACTTTAATAAATAATACTCAGAACAATTATTACGGTGCCATCATCATAGTGAAACTACAACTGTACAAAGAAAAAAATATTTGCAATAGGGAGCATTGGTATCAATGAAACAAAGTGGTCGTCACAACACAATCTTGCATTAATAAAAAAATTCATTTTAAATTCTTTGAACAGTATTATAAAGGTATTATTTAGTATTTGTCTAATAATAATAACAACAATTGTTGTTGGGAGAAAATTATGAACCTGTGTGTCAAGATCTGAAGAAGAATCAGTTGAAGGGGTGTGAGAATCAGTTAGCACAGTGCTGAATGAGACTGACCCAGAACCATTTCTCAACAACCTAATTCTTGAATTCAAGAATCTCAATCCCAGAGGCCACCCTTCTTCCTGCATCAACAACCCCCGAAATTAGTAAAAACAAAAACAAAAAATGGATCTGATAAACATGCTAACATAAAACACAACCCTCAAAATGATTGAAAAGCAACCAACTTTATCTAGTAGCTTGACATAACATCAACATGCGTATGCACCTTATGAGTATGCTTGAGAGAGTGATAGAGAGAGAATGGAAGTTGGTACCTGTTGAGCCATTACTGAGTTTGCTGAACGAAATGGAGAAGTAAATGACACCGAAATGAAATACGGGAAATTGTCGAAACAAGTGTCACTTGAGAGAACCAAGTATAACCTCCAGATTGTGTACCCTCTGACCAAAACAACACGAAAAAACACTAGAAACAAAAAAGTTGAATGTTTAACAGAAGTGCACAAACAAGAAACAACAAAACAATGGTATGGAGTTTCAACAGTAGTGGTATAAATTTGACATTTAACCAAAGGAGAGAAGACACGGACGTAGGAACTTCTTCGGTTCCAAACTGACGCAGTTTAATTAACCAAATCACTTTCCTTGTTTGTTTCACATTGGTCACAAATCAGAGAGAGACACAGACTGAGAGGTGGTGACGTGAGTTTGACTTCTTACCTCTCGGGTTTGTTTCGGAGACACAGTACACAAGGCAGAAGGTGATGGAAGCAGAAATGTGAGAGTAATTTTGGTACGAGTTCAAGAGTGGCCAATTCAATAGAAAGGGTAACACTGAGTAGCAGAGCTACACAGTTATAAAACCGAACTTCATCTGAATAGAATCTAAAATTAACATAGTCTGATTTAATTCGATCTAAATATAATATCAAAATTAAATATATAAATAATTTTTTTGGAGTTTAAGTTTAATTGGTCATTCATTTATATGCTTGTTTTTAAATTTATTTATTTTTATATAAAATTTAATTTGTTTCAATTTAAATAAAAGAGATAAGATATGTCGAGGCCAAAAGTTGAATTGGATTCATAGAAAACGAAGAGCTTTGAATTAGAGAATGCAATGGTAAAAATAATGATGAATTTATTTATAAAAAAAGAAAAAAATATTACTTGATTGAGATAAAAGATGAGAATTAATGATATATTTATTGGTTAAAATTTATTAAAATTATAAAAACATGAGGTAGAATCATTAATTTAAAAAGAGTGAATTTAAGTTATTTTTATCATTTTAAATAAATTTTAACTAAAATATATTAAAAAAAAGTGTGTAAAATAGTTACTAGCATTTTTTTATTGTTTATTTTTACTTTACTCAAGGAAAAATTTTTATATTTTAAAACTTTTTTTTGTATAACTCAAATTTAACATTAACATTTTTTGAATTTTCAAAAAGTATGCATTTAAAAGTAATTTTTTATATGTCACTATAAACACATCTAACAATAGATTAAACAAATAATTACTCATAGTAATATATTGATGTAAACTTATCCTTATTAGTATATAGTCATATGTAATTTCAAAGTCAATTAAAACCATAACAAAAAATAAAAAAAATAAAAATAGAGAAACAAATTAAAACAATAAAGGATCAATTAAGTTTTTGTTATATGAGAATATAATATAAAAAGTACATAAATATATTATGTATGCGATCTAATTTTTAATATTTAAAATAAAATAAATAGAAAACTTTAAATATGTCTTTTTTATGTGAAATATAAAAATATATCCTCTAACTTGACCACAAGTGTGTTCAAGTTAGCATAGGACATGCTCATATTAGCATGAACGTGTTTGTCTAGATGAAATTTTTGGTTTTCTTATTCTTAAATTTTGAAGGAACATAATTTTTTACACAACTTCAATTTGTACAAATTATATGTTCAATTCATATAGCTTTCAAGATAGGTTATGTTTATCTAAATTTTAGAACATAAATTGCCCAAGCCTAGAAAAATTAAAGACACCATGTGTTAACCTAAGTATGCTCGTATTAGCATAAAGCGCACAAGCCTTAGTGACTTATATTCTATCTAGTAATTAGCATGATTGTACTCATCACAAACACATTAGTGCTAGTGCATAAGTTGTACAAGGTTGATACAACTTATGCATACGTTTAAGCATAATTGTGGTCAATACAAGCATGTCTTGTGCTCGTGCATAAGTGGTACAAGGAATCACTATCAATCACTATATATATGTTTTAAAAGTTAATAAGCGCTTTTTATACCTATAATCTTCTTTTGCCTTCAAATATTTTTCTTTCTATGTTTTTTAAAATTTGATTAGTATGAAGTCTAAATTTTTGTAATTAGAAAAAGATATATAGATAGAAAAGACTTATACTCTTTTAACGGTTATATAAAATTAGCGTTAAACTTTTTATTTTTTAAGAGTGAATGCTAAAATTGTCATTAAATATTCTTTTCTGTGCTTTGCTGAAATTTGGGTATAAATTGAAGAAAAATAAGACAAACATGCCCATGCTTTGAGCATATGCATAGTCATGCATGTTGATATGTAAGGTCGTACTCCTCTTTTAGTGTATCTGGCTTGGAGATTTCTTGGAGACATGCGATGAAAGAATTTGAATTTAAAATTTGACAAATCATATCTTCTTTTCTTAATACGTCATATCAACATATTTCTTGGAAGTAACAACTATAATATCTGACAGATTCTAAACCTTATTTAAAGAACTTTGAGGGCTACAACTTGAGTATCTTGGTTTTAATGGCACTTGGAGTCATTGAAAGAAGAGGTCATTGGCAAAGACAAAAAAAGTTTCTTTAGAGTACAAGTAAGTAATTGAGAGCGTGTTTGAAGAACGATAACTCTTTTTATTTCTTTTTCTTAGAGATTTTTCTAGTTTGCATTCTTCTTTGATGTCTATTGATTTGTTTATGATTGCTTTGATTATTTGCTTTACAATGAGTAGCTAAATTCATAATTAGGGTCATAGTGAAATCTTTATATGACTTTATGTGATCTTTACATTTAATAATAATTTAAGTTTTCATATGTGATTGATTTTTATTCAAGTACATATAAATGTATATTAAGAATTGACCACTAGTATCTCATAATTAATTACATCGTAGGCAACTGTACCACATGTATTTAACATACCTATAGGATAAAAACAAGACAAAAAATTAAGTGAATTCAACTTAGTTTTTATCTTTTAATTGTTATTAAATTAACAAGTTCATAAATATTTTATGTTATCTTTCTTTTACTTTGCATGACCATTTAAGGTAATTATTTAAGAAAAAGACTATTAACATTATATAATCATTGAGTTATTAATAAAATCAGTATGCGTGATAAACAACCATAAAAAAATAGAAATTAAAATTATATTAAAAGTAAACATAAATATGTGTAAAAGTAAAATCATATGCCTTAAGTTCTTTTTCAATGGTCTGATCAATATATTGAAGTAAAGTCCAATCTAAATGGTCTAATCTATAAATATGAGATATACTGTAATGGATGCAAATATTAGATATATTGAGGTAAAGTGCAATCTAAATGGAGTCTTTTTTTTATTTTCTAAACAAATTGAAGTAAATATTAATATAAATTTATTTAATAAATTACGTATAAAATTATTGACTTGTGATTTTAAAATGACATATTTAATATTTAACTTCAAATATGTGTTGTAATGAATAAATGTATATTAACTATTTTGATACAAATCTATAGTTGTATTTAAAATTTAATAATTATCAATATAACACTGACGTGTATTTTACTAATCCATCATTGAGTGAAACTCTTATTTAATTAAAAATTAACTAAAAAATATCTAAAATTTACTCATCTTTATTGTAGTTTTTTTAAAAAGTTATTTTCATTGACAATCAATTATCATCTTATATTTGATTTTTAAGTAATTACTATATAAGTTAATTATTTAATGACATGATATTTTTTTTATTAGATGACTAGGTGAAAAGAATATATAGAGTGGATATATTTTAATTAAATTCGTAAATTAATTTTACCTATTAAAGTTATTTAATACAAATGCTAATTATTAATTACTGCTTGAGAAACAAAAGTAAATGATAGTATGTTCCGTAAATATTAATAAAATATTAAAACTTCATGCATTCATTCCTACATGTATGTAAGTGTGTGAGGAAATGTTAATTTTAATTAATTATTAAATTTGAAATGCTTATTATAACTTTTCTAAAATTCAAATAAAACTTTTGTTAAATTTATATTTATATTTATATTATCTTAAATTTTTTGTTAGTTATGTTTATGTATGTCGACATACTCGTTCAACAATTACTCTGTTTAGTAAAGGGAGAACTTCAAATTGTTTTTGTTATTTTGCCTGACAATACAAAGTTACATCCGTTATAATCTAATTCATAAATTGAAGGATGAATCAATTATGCCTCTGGGCTACAAAGTCAACGATTTTCCTTTATCTCTTTCTTTATTTTTCTTATCTAATTTTTTATCTTTTACATTTTAACAGTTTAAATTAAAATAAAACTCTTTCATAAATTAAAATTAATTTGTGTTTTAGAATTTTTTAAGTTATTTTTTAAAATTGAAAAGTATAAATTATTTTTAATTTATAAAAATTATATTTTTTAATTATTTTTATATTAAAATTTATTTAAAAATTTATCTAAATTAAACTTAAATTCATAAGATAATTACAAATAAATTGCTCAAGCAGTGGCAACTTTACTTATTTATGAATTTTCTTTTATTATAAGTATAATATTAAAAGGTTCTGGAAATATCAATTTATGCAGGATACTTTAATATATTTAATTAAACTTCTTACTTTTTATTTTATCTTTTAATTGAGTAATACCTCATTTTTAGTTATTGAATTTGTAAGCATTCATCAATTTTGTTTTTATAATTATGGAAAAGAATAATTCTTAAAATTATTAAAAATTAATCATTTTAGTCACTAAAATTATAAAATTAATTATTTTAATATTTAAATTTATTAAATTAGTTATTTTAGTGATTGAAATTATAACTATAAGTCAATTTTGTCAATATAGAATCATTGATAAAAATATCCTAGAATTATAAGTAATTAGTCATTTTAGTTACCAACATCATTTAATTTAATCATTAAAATTCTAAATAATATTTAAATTAGTTCTTTAAACTATAAAATAAAACTTTTAATCTCCAAAATATTAATATTTTAACTCCTATAATTATAGGCATCTATCAATTTTGTCCTTAAAATGATGATAACAAAAATATTTGCTAAATTAAAAGAAATTAGTTTCTTTGACTAAATTTTGTCAAATTATATACTTGCATAATTACTCAGTAAGGTTATTGAATAGCAGAATTTTATTTCTTAATTTATA